GCTTTATTGGCAAAAATGTACCGAGATCCTGTGACATTTAGTCATCAAATGCAACCTCCTGCGCCTCCCTGGGAGGAACATGCAACTCTGCAACATATACTGTCGAGGCGAAGACTGACGGATTTGGCGGCCGAATGACTCCCACTTCGTCAGAACTTGGACAGTGGGAGGCGGTGGACTCAGAAGTTAAGCTAATACAGCAAAATTGAGGTTACACAAAACCATAAGACGGAGACAAACAGGAAGAAGGTAAATTGGAGGCAATGAAAATAGGTGTGTGGAAAACAGGTAAATAAACCACCACGCAGAAGAGGCGGCGGGGTCAGTTGGGCAGAAGGTCGCGGGTTAGGTTTGGGCAAAACTCTATAAAAGTGTAGAGCAAGACGGCCCAGAGACTGGGGAAGATCGTAGGCTTGAGGTTCGGGATACAGCCTGCGGGGTCAAACCGGATTGGATTGTGTTTGCTAAAAAAGCCGAAGAGGGGACAATCAGTGCTGGGTAGCAACTAGGCGGAATTTGGGTCATACCCTAGGGCCAGGTAGTGAGACTATGGCTGCAAATCGTCGGCGGAGAAAATCCGGCTCTGGATTAACGACAAACAAACATGGGAACAAGCGCATGGAAGGAAAATAAGATCTTGTCCATCTAGCAAGCATGGTTTATGCTCAGTTTGTATCAAAGCTACCTAAGTTTATAGAAGAGCTCATCCACATAGGGCTGAAGGGAATAAATAGCATCAAGACATAAAGCTCCTTTAGGAGGCCTAAATGAGGGATGGCCGAGATAGGACCTTGGTGTGCAGCCAAAAAAGCTTGTTTCAAAGACTCTCGTGACAATTTCATGTCGCCTGACCTTTCTTTTCGCATGAAAATTTGGGTGGAAGGGTCAACTTAATGATGTAGGTTGAGCCAGATAACAATCGGATCTACATTATAAAACTGCAAAAAGTGCTGAGTTTGAAGCTAAGTGAGATCCCACCCAGTCTTCAACTAAGTCCAAAGAGGAATGACTTTTGGAAAACTTTAGCGAAGAATACCAGAAGTTTCCTTTTCACCTCAACTGAGCCAGTTATCTCCTACTTGTCTGCTACCCCACTTTGTATTTGAACAAGAGCTTCAAATAGAAAGCATCGAGCATGTATCACCAGGCAGTAGATGATTAGGACGAGCGGTAGGGTAGAAGAATTGATAGCATCTTGACATAAAGTGAGCCACCCTTCGCAATTCGCTTTACAGTATGTTACGGGAAAATAGGGAGGCAATCGGAATGTT